CACACCAAGATGAGTCAAAACATTCATGATATGTCTGCAAGAATACCTTGGAAAATATCAAGAAGTAGCTTCCTGATGGTTGTAAAATTAAATAATGAAATTAGAGTACGGGTAATCCTCGACTTAACGAAAGTTCATTTAGTGGCCATTCAAAGTTACAACGGCACTGGAAAAAGTGACTTATGACCGTTTTCCACTTTTAACGACCGTTGCAGTATCCCCATGGCCATGTAATCAAAATTCAGATGCCTGGCAACTGACTAGTACTTAACGACTGTTGCAGTGTCCCAGGATCATGTGATCCCCTTTTGCAACCTTCTGATAAGCAAAATCAACAGGGAAGCTGGATTCATTTAACAACCCTGTTACTAACTTAAGAATTGCAGCCATTAACTTAACTGCAGCAAGAAAGGTCACAAAATGGGACACTTATTAACATCTCACTTAGCAACAGAAATTGCAGGCTCAATTGTGGTCATAAGTCAAGGGCTACCTGTATATTGTTTCATTTAAATGATTCTTTGTGGGGATTTTCTCCACATTAATTTGTTTGACTGTAAATGCTTAAATCACTATGTTTATCCCAATTCCTGGGCACTTCGAACAGTGACCCTCTGCTCCGTTTCTCTCCAACGGATTAAAACTACCTATTAAAACAGACAATGTAATTGCTGTTGCTATAAATATGGGGTAATCTTTAATTATATCTTCCAGTGCACAAAAGTCAATATTTTCCCCAGATCTTTGGATTTGGAAGCTTAGTTTTATTCCTAGTACTTCAGAGTTATCTTTCCTTGGTATGTAATTTTCGTAATCTAAAACGTGTAGTTTTTGTGTTTACGCTAACATTAAAACAGTTGTAAAGATCGTTCATTCTTGGCAATCTTCTCAAATTGGTATTTGCCGCGGTGCTTCAGTCTTTCCCACCGTTAAAACGACAGAAGAAAAAAGCCTTGTTAGAAATATGCAACCTCTAGATTGGGGCTTCCCTTAGTTGGTTCCCAATAAAATGTGGCAGAACAGGGACAATAATTGGGAAGATCAAAATTCCTCTCTTGATCTTCTTACTAATCAGATAAAACTAGATACAAAAAAGGGATAAAAGCCGGTAATATAACAAACACTTTAAGAATTAATTACCGGGGATGTTTTACGTTAAGTAATGGAGGTTATTCGGAGATCTGATTTGCATTGTTCTGGCTTTCTCATATTGTCAAACAGATGGTTAATTAATAATGAATGGCATTAAAGTGCTCTAAGAAAATCTGATTACTTAAAGATTGGGCAATAAGTACAAGCTACTGGAAAATCCCGTTGAGCCTTTTCTTATATTCCCCTCACGCTTACTGTCATAACATTTATATGTTTTTTTTTACATATATACATTTTAACATGATAGGGTTTTACCTTATCTAACATAAATAATAAAATAAAGGATGTTTTCGATGATATAATTAACACAACCATAACTCTGTGTTTCCTCAAGTGGGGTTTTCCTTGATCAGGTTATTTAGTCACAATATTGATGGGTTCTCTTTTAACGACATGTGTCCACTGAAAAGCAGCGAAAATAATTAGGAGGCTAAAACGTACGAAGAACGCGTACAGGAAATTGGTTTTGTCTAGTCCAGGGATAGGCAACCTCGGCTCTTTTATGACTCGTGGACTACAACTCCCAGAATTCCTGAGCCAGCATTGCTCAGCTTAGAATCTCTCCCTTTCCCCTCAGCGTGGCTGGCTCAGGAATTCTGGGAGTTGAAGTCCACAAGTCATAAAAGAGCCAAGGTTGCCTACCTCTGGCCTAGCCCTAGGCCGCTTTATGACTTGTGGACTTCAACTCCCAGAATTCCTGAGCCAGCATGGCTCAGCTTGGAAACCTCTCCCTTTCCCCTCAGCATGGTTGACTCAGGAATTCTGGGAGTTGACGTCCACGAGTCATAAAAGAGCCAAGGTTGCCTACCCCTGGTCTAGTCTAATGAAAAGAAGGACTTGGGGAGGGCATGATAGCACTGTTCCAATATTTGAGAGGCTCCTACAAAGACGGGGGGGGGGTCAAACTATTTTCCAAAGCACCTGAGGGCAGGACAAGAAGCAATGAATGGAAACTAATCAAGGAGAGAAGCAACCTAGAACTAAGGAGAAATTTCCTAAGGGTGAATATTTGTCTCCAGAAGTTGGGGATGCTCCATCACTGGAGGCTTCGAAGAAGAGATTGGATTACCACTTGTCTGAAATGGTATAGGGTCTCCTGCTTGAGCAGGGGGTTGGACTAGAAGATCTTAAGAGCCGTGGTGGCATAGTGGTTAGAATGCAGTACTGGCAGCCAGTAGTTCGATTCTCATGGGCTCTAGGTTGAAGGCAGGACAAGAAGCAACGAATGGAAACTAATCAAGGAGAGAACCAACCTAGAACTAAGGAGAAATTTCCTGGCAGTGAGAACAATTAATCAGTGGGACAACCTGCCTCCAGAAATTGTGGGTGCACCATTACTGGAGGGTTTTTTTGAAGAGACTGGACAATGATTTGTCTGAAATGGAGTAGGATCTCCTGCTTGTGCAGGGGGCTAGACTAGAAGACCTCCAAGGTCCCTTCCAACTCCTGTTATTCTGTTATAGAGCACTGGCAATTGTACGTTGTAACTGAAGTTTATTTAATGCACAGATGCCATTCCCCTTGTGCTTTTCAGTCATCAGAAAATAATCCCATGCCATAATCTACTTACATGTTATCACTCTGTCAATGAATACTCTCAGCTTACTGTGGGAAGCAGATTATGCCATTAAATCTGGGCCGTGATCCAGTTTGTTGTAGTGTAATGCAGTGAGTGAATCAATCTGTAGACTTCCTTGCCCGTTCTATGTATAAAAGTTGGATGATCTCCAAGTAAGTAAATTGCACCCGGGCAAAGACAAAGCTAGGAGAGAAGATGAAATAGACTTCTATACCTGCTTCTCCATAACACAATAACAGTTGGGAGGGACCCTGGAGGTTTTCTAGTCCAACCCCCCCCCCCCCCGTTCAACCTAACGAGAAAAAGATTTTCATTCGTCTACTACAGGGGTCTTCAAACTTGGCCCTTTTATGACTTGTGGACTTCAACTCCCAGAATTCCTCAGCCAGAAGTACTAGTCATCCTTAAAAAGAGATGTTGGTGATGGTTTTGTTGGGGTTTTCTTTCTTTTTTTTTTTTTTGGTGGTTTCATTACATTTTTTGGCAGAACGAGACAAAAATTTGGACAGGCTTTGATTTTTTTTTAATAAAGAGTTTGCAGCTGGAATATCAACCGTCAGCTCTGATTTCCACGCTTAGTTAAACCCACCTCTTCAATTTCCAAAGTGCCTTCTTAAAATTGTGGCCTTAAAATTAAGGGAGGAGATCACAGAATAATCGTCTGCTTTTCTTAAGCTTTTGCCTCTCCTCTCCTCATCGGTTGTGGTCTTCTTTTTGTGGCCCTGGGATTTTAAGCAACACTGTCTGGAAGCACACAATGTGTGTTCTTGAGTGTAATGACAAATCCATGGTAACGTATTATATTATCAATCCTCCTGGGTTTTTGAGGTATAATAGTTTCAGCAGAGAAAGGCATTAATATTCTGTGGCACAAATTGAGCTCTACAAGAATGGACAAACATTGAATACCTCGAATTGTACAGTGCAGGAAGTCCTCGGCTTACAACAGTTCATTTAGTGACCATTCAAAGTTACAACGGCACTGAAAAAATTGACTTACGACTGTTTTTCACACTTATGACCACTGCAGCCATCCCTGCGGTCACATGATCAACATTCCGACACATGGCAACTGACTTGTACTTATGACTGTTGCTGTGTTCTGGGCTCAAGTGATCCCCTTTTGTGACCTTCTGACAAGCAAAGTCGATGGGGAAGCCAGATTCACTTAACAGCCAGGTTACTAACTTATCAACGGCGGTGATTCACTTAAGAACTGTGGCAAGAAAGGTCGTAAAATGGGGCAAAATTCAGAAATTTTGGATTGTGTTCATAAGTCGAGGACTATCTGTATTGCAATAGATGATCCATTGGATAAACTTCCTCCTAGATCAGGGGTAGGCAACCTTTGCTCTTTTATGACTCGTGGACTTCAACTCCCAGAATTCCTGAGCCAGTATGGCTCAGCTTGGAAACCTCTCCCTTTCCCCTCAAGAGTGGCTGACTCAGGAATTCTGGGAGTTGAAGTCCACCAGTCATAAAAGAGCCCAGGCTGCCTACCTCTGGCCTAGGCCACTTTATGACTGGTGGACTTCAACTCCCAGAATTCCTGAGCCAGCATGGCTCAGCTTGGAAAGCTCTCCCTTTCCCCTCAGAGTGGCTGACTCAGGAATTCTGGGAGTTGAAGTCCACCAGTCATAAAAGAGCCCAGGCTGCTACCTCTGGCCTAGGCCACTTTATGACTGGTGGACTTCAACTCCCAGAATTCCTGAGCCAGCATGGCTCAGCTTGGAAAGCTCTCCCTTTCCCCTCAGAGTGGCTGACTCAGGAATTCTGGGAGTTGAAGTCCACCAGTCATAAAAGAGCCCAGGCTGCCTACCTCTGGCCTAGGCCACTTTATGACTGGTGGACTTCAACTCCCAGAATTCCTGAGCCAGCATGGCTCAGCTTGGAAAGCTCTCCCTTTCCCCTCAGAGTGGCTGACTCAGGAATTCTGGGAGTTGAAGTCCACCAGTCATAAAAGAGCCCAGGCTGCCTACCTCTGGCCTAGGCCACTTTATGACTGGTGGACTTCAACTCCCAGAATTCCTGAGCCAGTATGGCTCAGCTTGGAAACCTCTCCCTTTCCCCTCAGAGTGGCTGACTCAGGAATTCTGGGAGTTGAAGTCCACCAGTCATAAAAGAGCCCAGGCTGCCTACCTCTGGCCTAGGCCACTTTATGACTGGTGGACTTCAACTCCCAGAATTCCTGAGCCAGCATGGCTCAGCTTGGAAAGCTCTCCCTTTCCCCTCAGAGTGGCTGACTCAGGAATTCTGGGAGTTGAAGTCCAGAAGTTATAAAAGAGCCAAGGTTCCCTATTCCTGTTCTAGATGGTCCAGGGATATAGTTTACCTATGGAAAAATGTAACTTACGGCTACTGGCATTAGTTCAAGATTTCAGGAACACTTAATCTTAAATAAACCTCCACTGTACTTTTAAATTCACATAAAGCTCTACAAAGAAGTTTCTCATGCCTTGGATTATCTTCTTGCGGAGTTGGAAAGCGCCAGCCCACTTAAATTGCTTCGTTCTTTTTGTGTAACTTTATTATAAATTGCTGTTCCCGGGAAGGCAAAACGCCAAAGCCAGATTTTCAGCTTTCACTCTCTTCCAGCTATTCTTTTCATGAGCGAGAAACCATCAACTTCCTTTCCTATTTCCGGTGAAATTGAGTTTGAATGAATGGGCTCCTGTATTTCTGTATGGTCAGGTGAGTTTCCAAGGTTATTTTCCTTTCCTTTTTCCCTTAAACTATTTTTTTTAATTTAAAAAAAAAAGGCCACAATGGGTAACATTCCTGGGATAAAAATAATCGAAAGAAAGGTTGATGTTATCTGAATTAAATTACACAATTCACATCATGAGGTGGAGAATGCAGTTTTGGTGAGACGGCAGTGAAAAATTATAGGTCGGATAACCTTTTCCAGATGCTTCTCTGATTTCTGAATCTGCAGTAAATGTACTGGTAAAATTACTCTTCTATTCCTTGGAAGACAGACTTTATGATGTAATATTCTCCAGATTATTATTTGTTTGCGTGAAGGGCAGAAGAGTCACAATGTTGAAATATCCTATAAGCTTGACAGATTTCAGCTATCCTTTAATTTGATAAGGATGTTTTTTGTCATAACCTAATCGCTTATTGATTGCTAAGTAGTTTTGAAATTTGAATTTAAGCTGCCAGTTTTATATTTAGTTCTGAATTGTAAATTTCAGTTACTACAGATAACTCCTCAACTTACCATCATCAGTTTAGCGACGACACTGAAAAAATGACTTACAACTTATAGTTATCGACCGTGGCAGTATCGCCCATGGTCACATGAGCAAAATTCGGGTGCTTGGCAACTGACTCATATTTATGATGGTTGCAGTGTCCCGGGATCATGTGATCCCCATTTGCAACTTTCCCAGCCGACTTCCCACAAGCCAAGCCAATGGAGAAGCCAGATTCACTTAACAACCTTAGGATTCATTTAACAACTACAGTGATTTGCTTGAAGACTGGGGGGGGGGAGAGAGAAGAAAAGGTCGTAAAATTGGACACAACTGACTTTAACAATCCCCTTGGTTTGCAATGGAAATTTTGCTCTTGCTGTTGTGGATTGTAAGTCAAGGATCACACTGTACTGTGAGCAGTGCATTTTTAAAAGGAAATTTTGGAAGGACCCAGCCTATTAGCTCTATAACGTATTGTGCGTTCTGTTGGTATATTGTTTGTTGCTATCTGGGACTCTTGAGTATTATATACACCCCACGCACACACACATATATACCATGGTTGTATGAATGATGGTGGAAGGAAGGACTTGTGGCTAGATCTAGTTCAGGGGTAGGCAACCTTGGCTCTTTTATGACTCGTGGACTTCAACTCCCAGAATTCCCGAGCCAGCCGTGCTGAGGGGAAAGGGAGAGGTTTCCAAGCTGAGCCATGCTGGCTCAGGAATGCTGGGAGTTGAAGTCCACGAGTCATAAAAGAGCCAAGGTTGCCTACCCCTAGTTCAACCTTGCCTGGTGGCCTTGTTTTTCCTTTTTCTTTAAACAGGATTTATAAGGAAATTAATAATGCAAGTAGGATAAGTCCATGGAAACCCAGTTGCTTGACTTGCTTTCTCTTGGTGACCCTTTAAACTTAAAAGTTTCAAGCAAACCAAAATAAAGAGAAGGGGGGGGGGAATGCCTTGATAGATGAGTTCCCCTACTATAAGTTTGCATATAGGTTATGTGGCTAAACAGAAAAAGCTAGTAGCCTTCCCATCCCAGAGAGAGAGGTTTGTTTTGATCCGTTCTGACACAAGATTGCTGCTCGGTAAAGATCCTGTCTGTACTCATTTGGATTTTGGACAGCCTGATCCCTCCATTTACTCAGAGGGTCATTGTGCCAGCCAGTTAGGAAACATTTCTCTCTCGTGTAAACACTACCAGGCTGAGCAACTAAATCCCTTTGTGAAGATTTACTTTGATTGAAAATGGAAACTGTGCCCAGATTTTGATCTACAGGGGCCAAGCCAACGTTTTCTCTCTCCTTTCTCCTTCCTTCACGTGTTCTTAGACTATTTTTTTTGTTTTGTTTTCTGCAACAGAGGTCATCAAACTATGGACCACGGCCTACTACCAGGCCTACTGGGCCGCATGAGTGGCTGGCCAGTGCGTGCACACATGCACGCATGCTCACTCTCCCTTGTGCTGGCGCTAACTAACCCATGAGCCATGCTCTGGCGCTAGCCAATCCACGATTCGCGCATTGGCGCTTGCAGCCTCATTTGCGGAGTACGCATGCTCACAGCCCCATTCACGCACACGCAGCCATGTTTGCATGTGCGCGCATGCGCGCATAAAGGTATCTGCCCCTTTCTCTTTTTTTTATTGAAAAGTTTTATACAAGTTTTAAACAATAACCCCCTCCCTTCCTCCCCCCCTCACTTCCCAGAGCTGGTTACAGGGTTACAAATAAACAAACAATTCTAAATAAACTTATCCAACTATACAAATAATAAAATCGATAATATACTTTAACTCAAATACAAAAAAAAATTAACAATATGAGCATTTCCAAATTAAAAACTATAAATAATTCATAATCTGCATAATGCATTTTAAACCCATATCATAACCCATATTTACTCTACATATAATTTATCCATCTTCACCTCGCTGAGGTGTATATTTCTTTTAAACAACCATACGTCCATAATAAACACAAAATTGTCCCTCCAATATAACCTAACCAACAAACTTACGTTCGATAAAATTGGCTCTTTGCTTTTTACCCCTAAGAAAGTCTATTCCTTTCTCATTGGGCTGCCAATCCAGAAACGTTGGCAACCCCTGTTCTAGAACATCCTTCTGAGTCCACAAAGGGGAAAAGGGTGACCGCACATTTACTGCTCTTGCTGATGGATTCGTATCGGTCAAAATTCTGGATATTCTCTCCATCCTAAGCATCACATGTCTGTGGAGATTCTCAGTCATCCAGGTCATGGTTGTCCCAAAGTTGCTTTTTTCCCCCCCAAAGGCAACTGGACTTCCTCAAGAAAGTCCAGTTGCCTTTTGTGGGGAGGGGAAAAAGCACTTTTGGGAGTAAGCATCCTATCCCTTTCAAAACTCTTCTTTGCGCCCACCTCACAGCCTATAATCCTTTTATTGCGGGAAGAAAAACACATTTGTAAGGAAACATGCCATTTCTGACATAATCCTAAATATAATCATACCCTGCAGATCCAGCCGATTTCAAACCGTGTGCCCAGGCTTTGTCCCCCTCCCCCTCAATCTTTGTCTGCCCTGATTCATTTCCTTCCGCAGTGTTTTCTCTTTTGTGAGATACACTGTTGTGCGGCTTTACATAACGAGGTCTTTATGAGGCTGGGTAAATGGCCAGGGCTGAACTTGGCAAGCGTTGGTTCTTTGAGACCTATTGTGTTTGAAAACTTTCTGACTCACGAGATCCTCTGTCTCGTATATCATTCTCCAACTCGGTGCCCATCTTGGAACTGGAGAAAGGCAGATTGAAATAAGATTCAGTTGTCTTCATTGCAGTGTTTTTTTTTTGCATGTTTTAAAAAAAAAATTCTAGGCTAGTTTTGGTAACTATCAAACGGTAGAATGTGTTACGTTCCACGGTCTGCCCTTGTTTGTTGTTGAAACGATAAACTGTGGTTAATCCAATGGAATTTATTATGTTTTCCATTGATATAGCCCAGGGGTAGGCAACCTTGGCTCTTTTATGACTCGTGGATTTCAACTCCCAGAATTCCTCAGCCAGCATAGCTGGCTGAGGAATTCTGGGAGTTGAAGTCCACGAGTCATAAAAGAGCCAAGGTTGTCTACCCTTGATGGAGCCCATCTGACAGGGCCATCCCCATACTGAAAATTTTAATTTTAGCCAGCAGAGCACTATTAATCTCCAAGTACAGAGAGAAGATTTAAAGCTCAGGGTTGAACTGTGGAGTCTTTAGTGCTCTCTGAATTTGATAACATTTCATTACCATAGTGAGTAACTTCCTCAGTGCTAGAGGGGAATGTGGTTTGCAGAAAGGAAGAGGGGGAAATGGGGGGCAGCAGTGGGGAGTCTTTGATGCTCTCTGAGTTTGGTGGTTTTCTTGCAGACGTTTCATTACCAAAGTGAATAACTTCCTCAGAGCTAGAGGGGAGTGTGGTTTGCAGAAAGGAGGAGGAGGAGGAGGACTGTGAAGTCCTTGGTGTTCTCTGAGTGTGCTCTTATTTTTATAAGGTAGCAGCCACTAGTATATAAAAATAAATAAATCAGAGCAAACTCTATTCCCTTACTAGCACTGACGAGGTTCCCTAGTTTGATAATGAAACATCGCATTGAAACTGCTAAGCTCAGAGAGCACCAATAACCTTCAAGTCTTATTTTTGGTACCAAATGCCTCTGCTCAAACTTGAGAGCAGCATTAGCAATGCTTTTAGAAGCAGAAAGGTCCTTTATAAGATGTCCCTATAAAAGAGACATCACCCTGCCAACAAAAGTGCGTATAGCCAAGACCATGGTTTTCCCAGTTGCAATGTATGGCTGTGAAAGTTGGACCATAAGAAAGGCTGAGCGCCAAAGAATGGAGGCCTTTGAACTCTGGTGCTGGAGAAGACGCCTGCGAGTCCCCTGGACTGCAAGGCGATCCAACCAGTCAGTCCTAGAGGAGATCAACCCCGACTGCTCTTTAGAAGGCCAGATCCCAAAGTTGAAATTCAAGTCCTTTGGCCACTTAATGAGAAGGAAGGACTCACTGGAGAAGAGCCTAATATTGGGAAAGATGGAGGGCAAGAGAAGAAGGGGGTGACAGAGAATGAGGTGGCTGGATGGAGTCCCTGAAGCAGTAGGCGTGAGCTTAAAGGGACTCCAGATGATGGTAGAGGACAGGAAGGCCTGGAGGAACATTGTCCATAGGGTCGCGACGGGTCGGACACGACTTCGCAATTAACAACAACAACAACTGCATTCTAACCACTGTGCCACTACGGCTCCCTAATAATAACAGGATTATTCAAGATGGGTGCAATTAGTAAGGACGAAGATGGTAGAGGACAGGAAGGCCTGGAGGAACGTTGTCCATGGGGTCGGGATGGGTGAGACACGACTTGGCAACTAACAACAACAACATAAAATTTGGACAAGTCTTTTTCTTTATGAAGGGTCTTGCATGCAGCTTCACTGAGTGACGAGGCTCCCGTTCTTCTGTGCGGTCGTTCTAA